GTTAAACATTTTCATTATCTGCAAATCACTTAGCTGTGGTAGTTTTCACAAGACTTACAATATTTTTTTTTTGTTCTAAAAGAAATGTTGATGTGTAATGTCCCCTTCAGCCTTCCTGTCCTGTTTGTGGTGGTCAATATCCTGCAGATGATTTAATCTTACATGCCAGTACATGTGGAGATCAGTAAGTTCATTTTAGCTCAAGGTCTAAATGTTTTACTACTCTATGAACTCATAGTCTTTATACATCTTATTGCTTCTGTCTTTGCAACCGTCAGAGCAGTTTTCAGGTCTTCAGCTTCAAACTGCCTATGTCTACAATCTGGCAATATGTTTTACTGTAGTTTCTTTACAATACATTGTATAGGGTTACGGTTTCTGCTGTTCATGAAATGTTACTTCCAAACTAAACTTCATTCGTTTTTATACTGATCCCTTTAAATCTATATTTTTATTTTGCTCACCCTTATGCACACTGAAATAGATTACCTGCCCAGCACAAGCCATGAACTCAGACAGGACCRTCCCAGTCATGCAGGTGACATCAACAATGACATCCCAGCCAACAATCAGGAAGGTATATTTCATACWAAACTTCACTGTGCACCTTTCTTACCTGCAATGTGCTGAGGCATTTTTTTGTTTTGTTTTGTTTTTTGTTGTTTGTTTTGTTTTTTGGGGTGGGTGTTCTATCATATTTTAATATCACTGTTAACATTATGTTTGAATACTATGTGTATACATTTTCTAATAGTTGAACCATGGAAAAAGGTCAGTGATCCCCAAGATGCAGCATTGCTGTTTAAGAGGCATCTCTTAAAGGAAGAGAAGAACCCCTCTATCACAGCTTGCATAAATATTACAGAGGACCAAACATCCCTGAGTCGTGACATAATTTCTTTCTACAAAAGACCACAGACTGACTGGGCAAGACCTTTTCAATGTTTTTTAAAAGGTAATGAAGATGTCTAAGCACAGATTACTAATGAAGTTTTCTATGAAGCTCGATTACAATTAAAGGATGTTTAAAATTCCAACTACATAGTTCTGTTGATGTAATTATTTTCTTCAATTTGTGGTTGCTGTAAAGCATCTTTTAAATTGTTTTTTTTGTTTGTTTTTTGTTTTGTTTTGTTTTTCCTTCCATTAGGTGACACAGCTGTTGGCACTGGGGTCCAGAGACATTTTTTCAGCTTGGCAATGCTAAAATTGCAACATAGCTTTAACCTCAATAGTGGTATGTTTCCAAGTTTGTATTGAAATGCTGTAAACTGAAGTTTTTATATAATAAATCAAACCATGTAATTCAGACATAAAGCCCCCTAAAAAATTTTTTTAATGTTGAAATAGTTTTTTTTTTGCCTAAACTCAACTAGGCATTAGCACCAACAGAGGACGCTGGAACTACTCATTTAGTCTTTTCTTTGGTTGCTACATGACTCCTAGGTTACACAGCAAAAATGCCAGTGTTAATTTAACACCCACAGTGTTAATTTTAACACTGACAAAGTGTCTATATGTGTCCACACTTGTTGGTGTTAAAATAACATTTGTGAAAGTGTTAAATTTTAACACTCATTTCTTTAATTTAACACCAACCAGTGTTAAATATTCAACAATTCTTGGTGTCACATTAACATTAAAATGGTGTTAGTGTTAAAATAAAGTGTTAACATTAACACCATCCAGTGTTAAATATTCAACAACACTGGGTGTCTTATTAACATTTCAACAGTGTTAAAATAAAGTGTTAAAAGTAACACCAGTGTATTATTATTATTTTTATTAACAAAGGGAATTGTGGTGTTTGTAAGATTAACAGACACCACAAGGTTTTAATACACCATCAAATTGAGAGTGTAAATTTAACACTCAAGAGTTAATATCAAACTCTCAGTAGTTAGAAAAGTATAATGGAGTCACCCTTCACACACCAGGAAGTACCTCTCACTCATTGGTGACTCATTGGTGGTTCTTTAATAGTCATAAACATGTAGAAACATCATTTCTGCAAGATTTCTCAGCAAGGAATGCTGGGTAAATGTTGGTCTGTCTGACATGAGGTGGAAGAGGGCGGGGCTTTTCACAATACTTCTTTCAAAACTGCATGGTGTTATATAACAACACTGTTAAGTGTTATATAAGACATAACTGTGGGCGGAGCTTATTTAACACTGTCCAGTGTTGAGACAACACTGAGGAAATCAACACTGTGAATTAACACCAAAATTGGGTATGAGTGTACTCAAAAAGTGTTAAAATAACACCAGGGAGTGTTAAATCAACACCCAAAAGTTTAACACTGAAATTTTAACACTCCTGTTTTTGCTGTGTAAGATAAGATAAAACTTTATTGTCTGTACAAAAATGGAATTTTGTTTACATAATCTGTTTGATGCCCACCATAAAAAAAAAACACACCACAACATCATAAACAATTATAATAATAATTAAAAGAAAGAAAGCTAAAATGTAATCTGCACTGATGAGTTAATTTTTCCTCCTCTGATTTAGGACTTTGCTGGCCTGGTATAAACCAGACCCTTGTCCTTCACTTTGCTTCATACGGAGGGTCTGGTCTCGCTGCTATTGAGAAGCGATTCTTGCAGGAGGCGTGGCCTCTGCTTAAGTGTGTGTGTGTGTGTGTTGCTGTGAAAGAGGCTAAGCTAAGAAGCTAACCGGAAATCGCATGTGCTGAAAACAACCCTACTAAGAGGAGAAAAGTACCGAGCCAAACGAGACGAC